TAGACCCACATCATCACATTCCCTTCACCATACCTAGAGATTGGCATGGGGTACTTTCCATAAGATCATCTTTCAATGCAAATCAAACCAGCTATTAGGCTAACTGAAATAACACCATGCCAATCTCTAGGTATGGTGAAGGGAATGTGATGATGTGGGATATTTTAAATCCAAAGGCCAAGGGAACTTTATCAGGATGCATATTATCCTGGATCCATGAAATAACTGGCCTTTAAAAATAAAAATCTGCCTGACTCTATGGGAATTTAACATAGGGGGGACTTATGCACATAGGGGCCTGACTTATGCACCCTGTATTTTAAGGAAGAACATTTATTTATTTATGATACATTATTCATACACAAAGAAAATTGGTGTCCTTAAAGGTTGGATTTTTCCTCATTTTTCTAATTAAGGCATTAAGATCAATTTCCAAAAGATGATTTTTTTATTCCTCTTTTTAGGCAACTTTAGCATGGGGGTAATAACTTATTCACACCACTGTATGAAATGAGGGCATGGCTGCAGTCGGTGATGATGAGGCCGATAGTAACCAGTACGTCCAGTGCAAGTAGGCTTTTACTATTTAAACTTACTCAACATTATTTTATTTATCCGTTATATTGAAAAACCTTTTTGAAGGATATTGGTTTAGTTCGGTTCTCTTTGAGCACTTGAGCTCGAGACGTTTAAGAGGCTGTTGTGTCGACCTTGATTTATTGCAATTTTGAGGTGTTCAGTTTTATTTTGATTGCTCTCATCATAAATCAACTGTTTCTTGTTTTTCACTGGCATGTCTCTTAGGTGTTGCGAACTACTGTATTTTTGAGCCTATCTACATTCAGTACTAGTAAAATACTTAAGTACTGTTAAAATCAAATATTCTTTTACTCAAGTCGTATTGGAATTGATGACGTAACTTGTAATGGAGTCGTTTTCGCTATAAGGTATCTGTACTTTTACTTTAGTATGGTTTTCAGGTACTCTTTACACCTCTGCACAAAAGTACTTTCTTGATTTGGCAAGCTCTAATATAGTACATATTACATTTGCTCAGAAAGAAATTGCGATCACAGAATTTATACACATTTTCCTCTTTTTTTTGTCTTTCCTGTTCAAACGTTTGTAAAGCACAACGTAAAAAAATAGGAATGTAAGTTTTTAGGAATGACATTCATCAATGTCATTTTAAGTCAGCTATCAGAATTAATCTCTAACTTTAATACAGCAAAGTACATCAGGAAAACATGTATTTTAACTATATTAATTAATACAATATGTAAATACATTAACATGTTTCCATTAGTAATTTAAAAATAATGTATAATAATGACTCTACTGTTTAAAAGTTTGGGGTCAGTAAGATTTTTATTTCTTCAAAAATGACAGTAAAAGACATTTAGAATGAAAAGATTTACAAAAGATATCGGTTTCAAATAAACACTGCTCTTTAGAACTTTCTCTCAAAGAATCTTGATAAAAGTGTTTCACGGTTTCCACAAAAATACAGAGGTGGACAGTAACATAGCACTTTTACTTGAGTACTGTACTTACTGTAAGTACACTTTTTGAGTATCTGTACTTTACTTGAGTATTACTTTTCTGGAAACTCTATAGTGTACTTTTTACTCCACTACATTTCTGTCAAGGTTCTTGAGTAGAAAGTAGTAACGTCAGTCAGGGGATGATTTTGGTTGCAGGGGTTGCATTTTGGTTGGAAATGAAAGTCGGGTTGATGTCAGAATCCGACTGATGTTGGTTTCTGACGTCACCCACGATTTAAATAATTATTTACTTAATTTAATAACAATGTTTGTGTATTGAAATGTTGTAGTTGAAGTTAAAGAATACCAAACAGTGTGAATCCGGTGCAATTCTTAGGTGGTGTTTAATGGCGGTGGCTCGTTTAATGTATGTGTGTTTATATGTGAATAAAAACCTAAATTGCATACTCTTCCAGTGGGCACTGATGGGATTCTCTGATGGGATGATGCAGGGCGACCAATGGATGAACATTGCTTGTTGTCATGTACTTTAACACACTATCACGGGGTTTGCAGTGGATGTCATCTTTATTTATAGAGAAACACTCCAATTCTGATTATATTGAACTTGCTTCATTTACAAGTGAGCCAAGGGCACAGCTCTTGACCAGAACAGGCTGTAATGTGGACATGACTTAATGCCATCTGACTACGTGTCATATGGAGCTGCATGTGTGGGAGTTGCATTGAATGATGCAGCAGTTGGATGGTGGAACATCTCCAACTCCTCGACAGCACACATAGATTACACTGTCCCTGCACTCTGACACTCCAGACACCCACTTTCATCTCCATTAAGTGCACCAGATCACACTGGCCAGCAAAGAGACACCCCCACACTCACTCACTTCAAATTTTGTTAGGACTTCATCACTGTTAAAAGCCGCCCAGAGGCTACTGAAGACACAGACAAGTGTTTAAATTGCTGTTGGTGGTGGACAGTTATACATCTCATTCATATGGAGTGACAGTTTGACATTCCGTCTGAACTGTTAGCCTTGCACAGATACCATTTGCATTCATTGTTTCCCCAAATTCCATTTGGATTCCATAAGGGTTGCATCACTCAGAATTCCATTCAGATTCCATCCTGTTGGAACCGCGTGTTCCATGCTACGCAGCTCAATTCGATTTGTGAGCCCAACAACCCATTAAAAGCTGTGATGACTTGAGTAAAAATAGAGTCTCTTATCTAACCAAAGAAAGAAAAAGAATGAAAAGTTTCATTCTCAGCAAATCAAATCATTGTTGCCTTTGAATGCCTGCTGACAAAGATAGTTGTAACTCTTCAGGCATTCTTGCAGATGATGTTTGTAAAGAGCAACATGAAGCATTAAGATGTGTTTAACTCTTCCTCCCTCACAGATCTGAATGCATTAAAGGAAGAAATTCAGTGCACCAAACCATGTTTTTTGTTTGTTTTTTGAGCACTGAAGATTTGCGCTGAAGGAGTACAAATTTTCTTTTAGAATAAGATGTCTACATGACATTAGAATCATTTTTTTCATAGAATATTTGCTTTCTTTAATACGGAATTAATTTCTATGTTAAATGAAATTGACATTTTTCCATAATTTATTCACCAAACAAGCCAAGTGGGCAATGGTTGGTTTTCTTTCTTTCGTAAACAAAAATAGATGTTTGACAGTCCAATCTGCTCTTTTCCATGCAATTACAGTGAAAGACTTGGTCTGTCAAGCTCCAAAAATGAATGGCCATATAAGTAGTCTGCATAACTTATTATTCAAAGTCTTTTGAACCCATATGAAAGCTTAAGTTAGGCCTAAGTCTAAATATTGTTGATACCATTGTCACCATTCACTTTCATTGTGTGTAAAAGAGCGACACACATTCTTTTATATCAGGTCGACTTTGGTTTTCTGCAGAAGAAAGAAAATCATTATGAGCAACATAAGGTTATAACAATAAATTATTATAGAATTTTCACTTTTGAATGAACTATCACTTTAAGAAAGAATGATTAATCTGTCAGAAACATTTGTGTTTGTAATATTTCATCAAATTGTATGTCGCTCCACCTCTGAAACAACTTTCTTTTTCAGCCAATTTTTTACTTAACCTCTCCCCTAGATTAACATTAAAAGGGGTAGTTCACCCAAAAATGTTTTACTCTCATGACGCTCCTAACCCATAAGAATCTGGTTTATCTTTAAGACACAAATTAAGATATCACATTTGGTAAATGTCGAAGCTTGTTTAACCCTCTTTGTTTATCATATGTGACTCGTTTAATGTATGTGTGTTTATATGTGAATAAAAACCTAAATTGAATCTGTTCTTCATATAAAGCAAACTTATCTCTTCCAAAGACTTGGTTTAAACCATTCGAATCATATGGATTCATTATGTCTGTATGACCTTTTTGGATATTAAAAGTTTTGGTTACTGAACTTTCAATGGAGGGGAAAAAAAACCTACAAAAGGTTTCATTAAAAATATTTTAAATTGTGTTTTTAAGATTAACCAAAGTTTAATATGGTTGGAATGACATGAGGGTGAGTAAATGATGACAGTATTGTCATTTTTAGGTGAACTGTCCCTTTAAGTTTTAAGTTTAACGGCTCTATTAGTCGACCATTGTTACAAATTCCTAATTGTTATAGGCTGGGTTTAGCATGCAATTCTCAGTTTTGTACCATAGGTCCCTGCTCCATTTCTCTATCCCCAAGAGCTCCATAACCTGAAAAGGGTAGAACATTTAAGAAAAGAAATTTATGTTAAGGGAAATAGAGAAGCTTTATCCATAGAACATCAGCCAGACTGTGTGACTGATGGAACGACATCTTTCCCTACTGGGTTATTACAGTACCTTACGCAGTGCAGAACAAATGGCATTGCTCCATGGGTTCATTGAGTTTGTCTCGCAGCTAATCGACCCCACTCGTGAACGTTTGGTGTGTGTATTTAACCGTGTCTGCTGCTCGCCCATCAACATGTTGCTCGGACAGCTGGGTGATAAGCATCATGCTATACATCCGATCCATATGTAGTATGAGTGTGTACAACAGCCACAAGGGCTATATAATCTTGTCAGCCGCACAGACGGGCAGATTGTTGATGCAAACAGACTGACAGAAAGGGAAGGCTGTCACTGTCAATTCATTTGGAAGTAGTGAATTTTTTTTTTCGTCCGTGTCCCAATGCTGTCATTTTGCTGTTTCCTCTGATCGTTTGATATTCAGACCTTCCAGCACTCCTGAGATTATGCTATTTTCTTTTCATTTGATGGGGTTTTGGATGTTTCTATTGTAGTGGAAAGTTGGAATCGGTACTGTCAAACATCTAGGGATTCCTGTTTAATTTATCCTTTCAATCATGGAGTCCTTATCTTCCTGTCACACACTGCACGAAGTCTTGGATCTTTTAGTAACTGAGATTTAGTACAATTCATCTCTTTGTCTCTCTCTCTGTGTCTCCCTCCTCAACCTCTCTAAGGGACGCTGCACACGTGATAACTGTAAGTACCTGCATCCTCCGCCTCATCTCAAGACCCAGCTGGAGATAAACGGCAGGAACAACCTGATCCAGCAGAAGACCGCAGCCGCCATGCTGGCCCAGCAGATGCAGTTCATGTTGCCTGGAGCTCAGCTGCAGCCTATCGTGAGATCAGATTTTCATAACCAATAACGTCACGATCATTTCTGTCGGCTTGAAAACATTGGTTTATTATCTCTTATTGTCTTTGTATCTCCTATCCAGACCTCTTTCCCAGTTACGCCTTCATTGGCCAACAGTCCGAGCATGGCTTTCAGCCCATACCTGAGCCACATGAGCCCGGGCATCAGTCTCATGCCCGAGCTTCTGCCCAGCGCCCCCGTGCTGGTCCCGGGGAGCCCCACCGGCATGGCCATGGGCAACGGAAATTCAACGCAGAAACATGTTCGCACAGACAAACTTGAGGTGTTGAACAGTAAACAACTTGCTGTTGTTGTTCGTGGTCTCTAATAATATCACTATAACTGTTGCTAAACATACATATTTGGCATGTAACTCATTCCACACTGCTACAGACATGAAATATATCTCAAATTGCATTCTGTCACTTTTCCAAAGCCATCACACTTTTAGTTAACTGTTTGGCGATGAAACAATATATATGCATGGTTTGCAATAAACGTAAAATATTTTCTATAGATATAATCAAGAACTTTAAATGAATAGTTTTTTTTAAATCCCTGTGGGGGAAAATGAATGAAAAAAATACTTCTGGATCCAATGTTACTAAAAAAAGCGTGTGGGCTCTAATGCACTCTATAGCAACACCCTGGCAACCACTCACAACACAGAGTTGGACAAGGGCCACTCACATTAAAATGACTGTCTCTAAGGTTAATTTTCAGCATAACTAATGGGTGATAGTAAATCTCTGCTATCTTGCTCCCAGGTGTGTCGAGAATTCCAGCGGGGAAACTGCACGCGTGGGGAGAACGACTGCCGCTACGCCCACCCAATGGAAGCCGCCATGGTGGACGGCAGTGAGAACTCGGTCATTGTTTGCATGGATTACATCAAGGGCCGCTGCACCCGTGACAAATGCAAGTACTTTCACCCTCCGGCTCACTTACAGGCCCGGATAAAGGCGGCGCAGCACCAAGCCAGCCAGAATGCTGCTGCCATGGTGAGTTACTGAGACGATCCCATTACAATGACAATCACACGCACTAATTCTCATAATTACAACAATCACACATCATTTATACTTTATAAAAGGGGATGTTCTGTGTATAAATGCCATCAGTAAAGACAATAAGGCAACAATATGAAATAATAGTCATATTGATAATTGGGCTAAACATAATTTAATGCACTGTTCAATGAAACTAGTTTATCTAGAGAAGACCTTGAGAAATATATCTAGAACCATTGTGTGGAAAGTGCTTTATTTTATCCATCCATCTGAATTTTGAAATTTATAAATGAATAAAATAAAGCATCCATTTTAAAATAAATTATGAATTTTCACGCTTGGGGAATAAATTAATCTAAGCTAATACAATTGTGTTATATCATAAATGCAAAGTCATTGTTATTTATTGAATTTGTTACATATTTAAATAAATTCTGACCATTTAATCATAAGCTGCTTGTTATGGATGAATCAAAACTCAAACCACTTTATTTAAAAAAAAATGAATAACGTATTCATTATTATTAACATTCATGATTGCCATTCATTATTCAATGATATTATATCATATACCTTTTGTTTGTTTTCAAACTCGTAAGTATCACTTACAAAGACCACAATGCACTGTTTATTTGTGGGCATTTTATGTAGTAATTTAGCAAGTTTCGTCATCATTCAGCACCGTTCAGTTGGAAAAGGAGGTTTTGGTGAATTATTATAATACAAGGCTAGTAATTTATCACATCTCATGTCATAACTGGACTGAAACGTCTTGTACTGGGCAATTCTTGTAAGCAAATAGCCATTTTAGCATCCGGTTTTATCCAAGGCAACTTTCACTACACATATTTCAGGGACAATCTCACTGGAGTAACCTGGAGTTAAGTGACCAGCAACCTTAGTTTCGGCCAGTATGCCATTTTCAATAAGCTCTACTAGTGTCAGATGAAGGTGTGGGTATTTATAACTCACTTTCCACACACCTTTAATGTGAGATTCAGGAGTGTATTAAATAATTCAGATCCCCCACAGGAGGGTGTGTGTGTGTGTGTGTGTGTGTGTGTGTTTGTCTTTGTCTCTTGTGTGATGTATGAAGACCAGGGCTCCGTGATGGCTTGCAAACAGTGTCTGCAGTGCAGGTGCAGGAGAGAAAAATGATAAGAAAGAAGAAAACAAGCAATTCATTCCCACAGAAACCTCCACTAGTTAGCAGCCTCTCACCCGAGAGCGTACTGCAGCCAATTTCCCTTTAATAATGTCATCTTTATCCCAGTCCTCCCTTTTCTTATCATGTAACATTTTTGCAGGTTTATTTACAGTGCACAGATGTGGGAACCTTATCCAGATATCCTCCCCTGCTTCTTGCAGTCACCTGGTTTGCCTTTGGCTTTATCATATGTTGGCTTTATTTGACTCCTACTCAGTTCATGCTGTCATTCTTTTTGAACACTGCTTGATTGTCTTTACATCCTCACAGCTCTCTTTGTTGTCCTACAAGCTTATTACCCAGCGCTCTCTCTCTCTCTCTCTCTCTCTCTCTCTCTCTCTCTCTCTCTAACCTCTGCTGCATCTGTTCCTTCACGGCTCATTCTCTTGTCTTGTGTTTATGTCCACTGTCGTTGATTGGTTTGCCATCGTCATGTGGTCACTGCTCGCATACCCAGCCCCCAGTGCGTCCTCTGAAGCGCAGCCTACAGCCAACTTTCAACCTGGTACTTTGATCTTTCACCCATTTTTGTGTCTTTTCTTTGCTATGCTAATTTGTTAATTTATTGCATATAGCTCAATTGCATATGAACGTGTCAGAACTGTAAGAAACCAGCCACAACCTCTGTAAACGAATCAGTTAGAAGTGAAATGAAACTGAATAAATATGCAGAGATCTTTTTTTATTATTAGTCTGGGTTCTAGTATATTTCTCATTAATTTTCTCCACAGGCACTTCAGAAAATTGAAACCTACTAGCTCAAAGAGGAATTACAAAATTTGATTCACATTTGAAAAAAAGAGAGACACAAGAATGTATTTCACATCTTTTATATGGATGCAAAATGTCGGTACCATATTGGCTGTTGTCTGATAAAAGTTTTTTTATGTATTGGTCGATATTCGATATTTCCATTGTCTAACAATTAAAGTTAATCTTTAAAAAAACATCTTTAGCAAATCATAAAATAAAATAAAAACATTTTCACCCTACATTATAATCTTGTGATGCAAATTCAAATTGCAGCATTTAAAATGATTGATTTTAGTTTTAATGCTTTTTTTGTTTGTTAGTTATTTAGACAGAATTTTAATAACAGACTTTTAGTGGTTATATATGCCATAACATATATTTTAGTCTCTAGTCTTTTATGAGGGAATGAATTAACTATTCATCCCATAATGCACTGGGAAATATTTGTTCTTTGAAGAGGATAGTTTATAGCCTGGCTCTGCCCTCCTACGTACTTCCGCTCAATTTTTATTTTCCTTCAGTACTACGTCTGGGTTTGTGGCGTATTCTTTGGTTTTCTCCAGTCAATATTTTACCGGTCCAGTCAGCGAATAGAGGGAGTGGCTTAGTTTGTCGTGCGCTAGTTTGAGTCGTCATACGTCACCACCAAACGTTAGCGATTGGTTATGGCAGATCTAGAGTGGCTCTAGGCAGATCCAATAGTTTTAAACCTCAACAGAGTACCCGCCTACAAGGAAGTTAACGCTTGTCAATGGACCGAGGCCAGACTCTCTGTACAAATGAAATGTACGAGAGTCTGGTGGGACCAGGCTAGATAGTTTACTCCAAATTTTTTTTTAAATCTGTCGTCATTTACTCACCCTCACCCTCTCTTCTTTGGAACAGAATGTTGGTTACAAAACAGCTTTGTTAACCACTGACATCCATTGAATGGGAAAAAAAAATTTCACAGTATCCTATTTTATGTTCCACAGAAGAAAGAAAGTAATTTAGATTTGGAATGACCTGAGGGTGATTGATTGATGAACTTTTTAATATTCTTATTGGTAAACATGTTTTATGCCCTTACACTACAACTTCCTGTAATGACTAACAAGGTAGGTAGCAGCTATCTTTAGCTTACATAACTATGTAAAAATAGTACCTAGCTGCAAGCAAAAGAAAAAAAATATGTAGTGGAGATTACAGTTAATTTCCATTCAAACAACGTCTTCTGATTGGCGGATCTCGCACAGGATTGTAGGTAGTGCAATACTTAATCTGTAATTAATTCGACAGTTAAGCAATTGTTTTCTGTGAGGTTTAAATCACTGGCTTATGCCTTCTTTAGAAACATACACCTTCATCATAACAACCTTAGAGCTCATTGGTAGTCTTTCTTGAAAAGTTTGTATATAGTGTTGAAAATCAGAATCACTATGGAGATTTGGATTGATATTTTTACTTTGTGAACCTGACTGTTGAGTGCTATAAAGTACAGCACATTATTATTGAGTTACTTGGGATTGACTTCACATGTAAATCATGAGGTCGGACTGCTCCCCCATCATCCCTCTGCGTTTGTGAATCACAGATATCCTCTTTCCTGTTGACCTTGCTCTTATCACCTTGCATATCAGTCTTCAGACAGAATTACACAGTGGAAGACAGCCATACATTCTCATCATTATGCCTTCATCTGGGCTGAGCATTCTCAGTTTAATTATCAGAGGCAGATAAGGATGCTTCACTTCAGTTTCTGTTTCTGATATCACTTCCTCATGCTGCTGACACCCCTTATAGAGAAATAGAGAAGCAGACCCAGACATTTCCCAGAGATGGAGCCATAGCATAACATGAATAAAAAAATCTCCAGTTTGTATCAAAACTAGTCAACAAAATTAGTCAAATTTGGTCAGTTTTATTTATTTTGATAGAATAAGAGTTGATGAGTATACAAGCTATCACAAACAAGCTGAGAAAATGTCTAAATATTAATCCTTTAGATTCAGACCTTAATTTTAAACAATTAAATTATTTAAAAATACTATTAAATAATCCTAGTAACATAATTATTACATTTCTTAGAGAAAATACCTTGCTCACCAAGGCTGCATTTATTTGATTTATTTGGGGGAAAAAACTATTTATATAACTATATATACTTATATAACAATTTATATAACTGTTTTCTATTTTAATGTATTTTAAAATGTAATTTATTCCTGTGATGGCAAAGCTGAATATTCAGCATCATTACTCCAGTCTTCAGTGTCACATGATCCTTCAGATTCATTCTAATATGACGATTTGGTGCTCAAATAACATTTCTTATTATTATCAATGTTGAAATGCTTAATATTACTACTAAATGTTTTTGAGGAAAACGTGATATATTTCTTTTTAGGATTTATTAATGAAAAGAAAGTTCAGTATTTTTTTTATTTAAAAAAATCTTACTGACCCCAAACTTTTAAACAGTAGCATATATGCATGATAACATATAATGCAATAATAACAAACATTTTCTGTTCCATCCTAAAAGAAGTAATCAAATACATCTCCATCATATTTCTATATTTTATTTATGACGCATTATTTGCAACACTTAGAATGACATATACACAATATGTCAGATATCACTGTCATGCATAGACATGAACACACACAGTAGAAATTTTTCTGTGGCTCAATATCATGGCTGTCACTGACCTCTCCCTCCGCCCACTATCTTTCTTTTTCTTTCTTTTTGTTTTTCTCCTCTTTCGTTTTTGTCATCCTGACCTGATCACTTCAGGCTCTGCCACCAGGAGCCATGCAACAGCTACCAAAGAGACCGACCCTGGAGAAGACTAACGGCGCGGGTGCCGTCTTCAACCCCAGCATGTTCCACTACCAGCAGGCTTTGGCCAGCATGCAGCTGCAGCAGCCAGCGTTCATTCCCACAGGTGAGCCTATGCAGACAAATGACTGCGCTCTAATGTCACCGTATTCCTGTAATAGTTTGGCTTGCATACATACAGCACTTTAAAGACAAAGTGACCAGCTAGACGAGGACTTGAGCACATTTTCTGCTTGCCATCTCTCTCCCTGTAAGCCCACTTGCTCTCTTTATAGTAGTCCACCCTATGCCAATGTCATTAGTCCCATGATGCATACAGTCCTGCATTGTCTCCTCATCCACCCGAGCATTAGCCACTCTTGTTCTGATTCTGCAGTGCACAATATTTGCTGTTCTCACATTCGGTAAGAGAAACTAGATTGTATTTTGCCTAAATGACTGTAGCAACAACCCTTCAGCCTTATAAAAAGGCTATGAGAGGATAGTTACAGTAGGTTTGCTACACAGCAGAGAGTTTTAATGACCCAGTAATTTCAAAACTGGAATTGTGTGGCTTTTAATCCGAGTCTATAAAGCGCTGTAGCGATGACGTATTTTTAAAGGCCTAACCAGAAGTTAGCATCACCCTGGTTCCCTCGATAAAAACTCAGTATGATTTTTCCTCTGGCTTTTGGATTATTGCAGAAAAAAAGCCCTTTGACAAACAAATGTTTGCTTCCTACATATTTCATTCATCATGATCATTTTCAAAAATGAACACAAACTTTTATGAATTTTGAAGGCTAAATGCAATCGCAATAAGTAAAAAGTTAAAATGTAGGTTATAACCAAAATACACCACAGTCACATGACTTCAGCGTCAATTTCATTAAGTTTCTGACAACTCTTCCCACATCACAAGGGGGTATTACTGATGATACCATTTCATGAGGTCTTTATAGACTACATGAAATCAAATCAAAATGGGCCCTTTTAACTTTAACTTAATACATGTTTCATTGTAGATTATCAGGTTATTTTAAAGCAAGGCTATAGGTGTATCTACCTGAAAATTACTTTTACTTTCTTATGTATCATAGCCTAATACACTTTGATCGAATCAAATCCTTATGGATGAAATGAAGCCCCATATTAGATTTTATCCCGATGAATATTCTGTTTAACTCTAATACACAGCACATTTTAAGCATGTTGATTTTATTATTAAACAACACTCAAGCTGAACTTGTTAGCACTGGGCTACTCAGCTGACGAGACACAACAATGGATTGGCATCCAGGTTAACATCCACCTCCTGATGAGGACCTTTTATTCTGCCAGCGTGATTCATTTCCTCTTGGTTTCCCCCTGCTTTGTGTCCATGTCTCCATCTCGCCACCATGTTGCCCATAATGACGGTCATCGCTCTTTCGCTGTGTGTCACTAACTCTAAAGTTGTTTTGTCTTGTACTCACGCTGCTTTAACTACCCCTTCTCCCCATCTCTTCCACCCCTCCATCCTCCTTGGTCTCTCTTCTCCTGGGCTCTTTGTGCATGGTGTTGCAGGCTCCGTATTCTGCATGGCTCCATCTGGAGGCATTGGTAGGTCACTTCCCAGTCTATTTGGATCAACATTTACCTTACAGCAACATCTCAGATCTGTGTGGCAGACAGGAAGGTCATCCAACTCCAAAGGCCCAGCAGTGTATCATAGGGGTTTTCTCCAGCTGTGGGCACTTTTATGTCCCAGGGGATATGATTTTTTTTTTTTTTTTTTAACCATTTCCATTTTAATTTTAAATTTTAAATCATTAATTAAAATCAATAATTATACGAATATTCACACAATAAGATTGCGTTGTTTACAGCTGCCTTTAAAAAATCAAGGTAAATATCACTTTTATTGTGTGGCATTTTCAGTCTGGCTGCTGTTTATTTAAAGCCATTCTATTTAAAGATTGTTTAAAGTTCCATTTCTACCAAAGAATGCTAATAAACAATATATCATTTAGGATGTGGTTGAAACGGACTTTGAGGAGAAAAGGATAAAAAAAAGTGTTCATAATTAAATATGAATAGTCATTCAAAAATAATCATTTCAAAATTAAATTATTGAAAATAACTGATTATTCAAATAAATTATATATTACATTTTACACATTATGACTGTCTTTTACAGCTGCTAATAAAATATCACTTGTGAACAATATTTTTATTGTGTGGTATTTTTAGTCTAGAAATAAGCGTGTCATATTATAAAGTTTGCCATTTGATTTCGAAAATGATTAAAATGTTATTTCCATCACCTTAATTTCCACCAAAGAATTCTATTAAACACAGTACATTGTTTGGGATGTGGTGGAAATGCTCATGACTTTCAGGAGAAAAAGACAAAAAAAAAGTGCTCATAGTCGAAGAAACGTTCTAAAGACATCAGTATGAGATGTATTTAAAGCTGCTGTCCGTAATTTTTTTCAAGTTAAAAATAATCCAAAATAATTATTTAAAAAAAAAACATATTCAGCCAGTGTTCAAAACTATCTGGTTGCCGTAGCTCGATTCAAAACGGTTAGCTTGTAATAATGATTTTATTTCCAGTGGTACTGGTGGGTTTCCGCGGGAAATTCGAGCATGTCTTTGCGTCATTACGTCACATCCGTACACATAAAGAAGGAGTTTCGGCTAGCTATACTGCGCGTGACGAGATGTTGACGTTGGGGAGAGTAGAGATGCCTTTTTTCGCAGCACTTTACATAATTGAACTTATGGCGGATCCAGAAAGATCCAAACGACAATCATCAGTGTCAACTGGAGATTCACCCGTTATAAAACCCAAAAGACTTCGTACTTCGGATTTAAAGTGGCTAGAGAAAGACAGCAACCGTCTCATGTGAACACAAGGAACATAGGCAGGGCGTTTGGTGCGTGAACTCCGTGTTTTGAAGGGGTTCAAAACGGATGAAGAGGCGCTTTTTTCTGCTGGACAAGTAAGACATTTCAATAGTTCAATCGTGTAACAGTACCAAAATTGTTTGCTTAATTCACACAGTTATGGAGTTTCCTTTGTTGTGCCTTTCTCATTTAGCTATTATGGAGAATATGAATTCTGAACTACAGGTAACCATAAAACAGATTAAAGTCACGCAAAGCTGATGTTGTTAACATTAACAATTTGAGAACAAAGTATAATTTGCACGGTTCGACATCATGAGCGATCGTTAGATTTAATCAGCGCGATTTACTGCAGTGCAATCAATGCATTTTCCCCGTAGTTGATCTGAACAAAAGTTAATGTCACTTACTTGTTCAGATGACATTTTCCGGTGAAAATTCTTATGTTGATCATCCTGTACTTCCAAAAAGTAGAGTGTGTGATTCTGAATGCCAGTATCCACACCGGCGCTGTGACCGACAGCCGCGACACGCACTCTCCTCACAACATTGTGTTCATCCGCGCTTTCGAGTTGTTTCATGCCGATGTACAACTCACGTAAAATTAATAATTCCGCGAATGACTGCAATTGCAGACTTCAAACAGAGATGGCGACAAAGAGGAAAAGCTACGGACTGCAGCTTTAATGGTCAATACTAAAAAAGACAAGGACAGCTTAGCATATGCTCCTTACACTGTCATTTTCCTCATGAGGCCTCAAACTATAGGCCTAACCCTGTCCTGTCTGTCACTGTGTTTACACCCAACCTATGTGCTTCCACTGCTTGTTATTGTTTGCTCATTATTTTGGCTCAATGTATGACATGTGCATTTGTTCTTGCATGTGTGTGTGTGATTTTGTGTGCAGCTGACGGCACAGTGCGGGCACAAATAAGCAAGGCCTAAGCCTTCAACGCGACTCATTAAGACTGGTTCCTTTTTCTTTGTGCCCTTTCCTCCTCATCCTCTCCTCTCCCTCACCTCCTTAAATCTATTATAGGCCTATTCAAACCCCAAGGCCTAATGACAGATGGCCGCTGGGAGAGGCGGGACTGGACCAACTGCAGGCCCCCCCAAAGTCGTTACCTGTCAGGGCCTGGACATACTGGTGAGGGTAGAGTCTAGGTCCCCTCCCCTCACAAACATACACTCACAACCTTACCATTTACCTGTTTAGAAAGGTAGAAATCACCCCTCCCATTTCTGACCACTATCGGTTAAAATATTCCCGAACAGAAACACAATTGTACACACGTTTCCATCCCCATAGATGTACAATGAACTTTTTTTAGCTGGCCAAGTTAAATTTGTCTTTAACAGTCATTTAGCTGGGAAACAACTTCACCAGTCCTGTCAAAACACTAGATCTGCGTTGAACCAGTGAGTGTGCCAGTGTGTGCCTGTGCGCATGTCTCAATTTTTAATTTTAATGTCATTATTTGACATCTGTAATGCACTTGCTGTATACATATCATGCTGTGTTAATTTGCAGTTTTTCATATAATATGACCTTTATCTCTTTATCTTTATTTCTAATAGCTGGTTTTATTAGATAGTCCTAAATTCTTCATATTTACAGGTGTTTTAGAATGATTATGTCAAATATCAGGTTAACTCAAATAAAACCAAAGAAATAAAGTGTCATATTATTTTAAGGCAATATTTGGACGGGAATGAATTGCATATTTACATTCCCTGGTTTTTCCCCTACTGTATATTTATCCATTCTCCGGCCCCCATCAAAATATGACAGTCAGACGTTCCTGTCTGTCCCAAATGTGTGTGATTTTGATTACGGCCATGTTTTTATTTTGCCCATTAGAGGTTTCTCAATAGTTTTATCTAAAAGTAATTGTGATCGGATAAAACTCTCTAAGCTAAAACGTAATGAAAGTGTTTTTAAGTTCTTTTGCATGTTTGTTCTTGACTGAATACATCATCTTTGCAGTACATAAAGACGTAGTTGCCATGACTCAGCCTATTCCTCTGGCATATTTTGTCATGGTACTCATAACATTCCTCCTCCCCTCCACCTTCCCCTTTCCCTTGTTTCTTGTCTGACTCGCCTGAAAAAAGTTCCCATGATGCACGGTGCCACCACTTCCACTGTTTCGTCGGCTACGACCCCAGTCACCAATGTTCCTTTTGCTGAATCAGCCACCTCCAACCAGGTTTGCCCCTTCATTTTGGCCTCTCCTTTTTACAGCTGTAAGGCATCCGACTGGTCCATAGACCATAATGCTTTATTTTATATACACTCACCTAAAGGATTATTAGGAACACCTGTTCAATTTCTCATTAATGCAATTATCTAATCAACCAATCACATGGCAGTTGCTTCAATGCATTTAGGGGTGTGGTCCTGGTCAAGACAATCTCCTGAACTCCAAACTGAATGTCAGAATGGGAAAGAAAGGTGATTTAAGCTATTTTGAGCGTGGCATGGTTGTTGGTGCCAGACGGGCCGGTCTGAGTATTTCACAATCTGCTCAGTTACTGGGATTTTCACGCACAACCATTTCTAGGGTTTACAAAGAACGGTGTGAAAAGGGAAAAACATCCAGTATGCGGCAGTCCTGTGGGCGAAAATGCCTTGTTGATGCTAGAGGTCAGAGGAGAATGGGCCGACTGATTCAAGCTGATAGAAGAGCAACTTTGACTGAAATAACCACTCGTTACAACCGAGGTATGCAGCAAAGCATTTGTGAAGCCACAACACGCACAACCTTGAGGCGGATGGGCTACAACAGCAGACCCCACCGGGTACCACTCATCTCCACTACAAATAGGAAAAAGAGGCTACAATTTGCAAGAGCTCACCAAAATTGGACAGTTGAAGACTGGAAAAATGTTGCCTGGTCTGATGAGTCTCGATTTCTGTTGAGACATTCAGATGGTAGAGTCAGAATTTGGCGTAAACAGAATGAGAACATGGATCCATCATGCCTTGTTACCACTGTGCAGGCTGGTGGTGGTGGTGTAATGGTGTGGGGGATGTATTCTTGGCACACTTTAGGCCCCTTAGTGCCAATTGGGCATCGTTTAAATGCCACGGCCTACCTGAGCATTGTTTCTGACCATGTCCATCCCTTTATGGCCACCATGTACCCATCCTCTGATGGCTACTTCCAGCAGGATAATGCACCATGTCACAAAGCTTGAATCATTTCAAATTGGTTTCTTAAACATGACAATGAGTTCACTGTACTAAAATGGCCCCCACATTCACCAGATCTCAACACAATAGAGCATCTTTGGGATGTGGTGGAACGGGAGCTTCGTGCCCTATTGAAATCAATGCCACGTAGAATTAAGGCAGTTCTGAAGGCGAAAGGGGGTCAAACACAGTATTAGTATGGTGTTCCTAATAATCCTTTAGGTGAGTGTGTATATATATATATATATATATATAATTACATTTTGATTTTAAAGTCTTTATATATATATATATATATATATATATATATATATATATATATATATTTATATATAAACACTTTAATATCAAAATGTAATGTCTGAAGGTGAGATCTAAGTAAAGAGAGTGGTAATTCATGTTTTCTGATCCAAAATGGTTGAACATAATGACCTTGAGTCGTTGAGTTTTCTGTGGACCAGTGAGGGGCCTCTTTACCACTTTAGCACAATGTCCCAGTTCAACCATGTCTGTGTGTGTTCACATCTCTGTCTGTCTGTGTCTGTGTCTGTGTCTTCACTGTGTGTTAGAGCAAACAACTGCATTTAAAGAGATTCATCAAAAATGAAAATTCTCTCCTTAATTACTCACCTTCGTGTCATTCCAAACCTGAATACTGCTATTTTTTCCATGGAACATAATATTAGACATTAATGGTGAATTATTTTTACCAGCTCTTTCCATACCATGACAGTTCATAGTGAACATGTAAAGGAAAATACAACAAAAAGACACCGTAAAAGTAGCCTGTACGATTGTATTCAAGTCTTGTGAAGTTATATGATAGTTTATATGATAAGATAGTCGGTTCTTTTCAATGAACTGTTTGATTTGATTCCTTAATTACTTGAATGATTCTTGAATTAATCCTTTTTTCTATTGAGCCAGTTCTTTTCAGTGAACTATTTGATCTGATCATCAAAGACTGATCTGTTCAAGTTCAATTCAAGTGGTATGGACTTATTTTATGGCATTGTTTTGGTGATCGTGTGGTGTTCAGTCATTTTTGGAAATTAACAGATTTAGTCACTAGGAACTACTGTTGTATGGAACGAGAAGTGCAATGATTCTTCACAAAATTCTCCTTTTTGCGCTCCACCGAAGAAAGAAAATCTTACATGTTTGAAACAACATGAGGGTGAGTAAATGATGACAGAAGTATAATTTTTGATACTGTTACTTTAAATGTCAAAGCTCAAAAATTCATTGTCTTTTCTACCCCCTTCACCATGTTTTGATCATTTTGCACTGGAGCAAGTTGTTTCTGTGGCTCACACTAGAGTGAAATGGTATACGTGTCCTCGTTTTTCTGTAAATAGGATGTGGGTGTCTGTTTTCAGATGACAGTTCTCTGAATTTTTGTTTGTCCTTCCTTCTTCATTGTCTTAATCTTACAGTTAGCTTCAAAGTACGTAATGTGAGGAAACAGACAGTTCACCATTTAGTCTGTTTAATTTGTGTGTCCTGCAGAATCATAGATGAGCCACGAGCTTGACACGGCCAACCTTGTTTCGCTTGCCTCTTTATTTCCTAAATAGCTACAATGTGGATTGTTTTAGCATTATGTAAGCTGCCAAGATGTTCAGTGGTTTTTAGCTCTAGTTTATAATCTAAAAGCAATTTTAAAGTACAGGTATATTCTGCGCAGACCTGAGGTGTCAGCGCTCATTTCCTGCTTCGCTTGCTTTTATGCTGAAATATGTCTTGCAAAATTACAAATGTGGAATTGCAGGTCTGCGCCCACTGTCTCAAGATAACTGGTGCATTATGTGATGATATTTATTCATTCTCTTGTAATTCTTTTTCTCATTTTCGGAATGAACTGCAGGTTTGATGTTCGAGTAGATAAGATAAGAATTGACTATATTCTCTTTGCATATTGCTTTTTTAACCGTAAGAGGTTCACTACCTTATCTGTGGGCTGTATTTGTACCTGTCTTCCAGTAGACGCCGCCGAGGTTCTGAGCACCGACCCCATGGACCTCCAGTGTGTTCCCATGGAGGCCCATTTCTGCCCCGTTCCTAAACTCCTGGTGGCCGCACCTATGACGCTGAATCCAGTAAGCCTCTCCCGCAATCCTACAACCTAATCAGGCCCATCACTCATGCAACGTGTGCCCAAACACAACAGAAAAATGAATGCAACAAACGTGTGCCTAATCAGTAAGTCCTTAACGGGCAATACATTCATTCTCATATCAGAGATGCCCACTTCATTTGACGTCAACAGAGGTTTGTTGATATTGAAACAGGCAATACTTAAATTTGGACCTACAACTGTATAAGGAAGCATGCCATCTCAAAACAAGGAGACTTAAGGAGCGTGCAGATGCTGAATCAGGAGACGGAACGCTCTCGTAACTCACAGCCATACGAATACATGCAAACTAATTAGCTGAGAAAACGAATTCTCTGGAGGTGAACATTAGATTTGAGAGCCGATGTATGGTAAGAGATGGAGCCGATTCAGAGCATCATCAGCAGACAGAATGTTTCTCCGTCGTTGAATGTGACAACAGAGTGTGTGAGAGCGACACCTGCTAATGATATTTTACATAGTTGTGGTGGTGGTAATTTCTTTCACATTTAATTATAATTAATGAACGTGGCACGTTTTATTTCATGTTTACATTTCAAAATGTAGAGAGAAAAAAAAGATTATTTGAAAATGATTGATTCTTTTGTAAGATAATCTGTTCATGATACTGATTTAGGTTTTTCGTTGAGAGGTTTTTAAAATATTGTTGTTCGTGCCTTTGAGTTACAAGTGTGTGGATGTCTTTTTTCCCCCCAATTCTTCTGTACTACAACTGACTTACATTTTATCATAGACTAAGAAAGTATACCTGTGTAGCCTTTCAGAATCAATGTGTCGTTCTTCCGTCAACTTAGAGATGTGTGTTGTTGTGAGTGACTTGGTTTTTCTTGGTCTCATGAAAGAGTATTATTTATTTCACCACTGTCTAACAGGCTATAACTGGTCTACTGAGATAAGTGTTAATATTCATGCCTGAAGTATCTCACCTCGCATTTCAAGCTCAACATCGAAACGGTCAAACACAAGATTGGTTGATATACTAGTACCTCCGTTTTAAAAATAGAACTGCCTTAAGCAGACTAAATATGAGCACTTCTTGTTTCACAGTGTGCTGCACACTGAAATGTAAGGTCTGATTGCAGGCCTTCTGGATGAATAAGATGTCTCATTGAGAAGATTTTAACTGGACTTTGTTCAATGATTCTTGCAAAACTATCGTCTGATGTCCTGGATATTCAAATACTGTAAAAATAGTCATATTTATTTGCTTTTTAGATTATAAATACATATCACATTTCTACGGTTATTAAGTGAATCTCATGAAAACATGTCCATGTCACCCAAAAAGCAGAGGAAATAAGACAATTGAATGACCAAAAAAAGACAATTAAGCACATTGCCTCCTATCGCCATTACCATAATAAAAAAAATGAAAAAAAATCACTGTAATACGCAATAAATAACTATATATAAATAAACTGTATTTATACATCACAGTTGTAGTTGTTTAATGCTAATTTTAATAAAAATAATTCAATCACAAAAATTGTTTCTTGTTTAACAGTAAAAAAAAAAACTTTGCTAGTTACAAATCTATAATTGCAAAAAAAAATTGTGCTTTAATTGTCATAGGAATGACGTTGCAAAGCAAAAAGATCCTAAAACGAGGCTTCATCTTTATGCAAAATTGTTCTGATTTTAGTGTGAAATTTGACATATTTTCATGAGATTCACCCTATTACCATGTCTATCTTTTGAAGACAACCCCCTTCTGATGGCTGGACTGTCTCTGCCAAAATCTATGCTCTGTCCCACCTGCTGTGTGACAGTCTGTTCGTCTCCACTTTTTGTTCAGCCATGTTTGGTGCATCCCAGAGTACTATAAGATCTGTTTTCAATGGTCGTTAGTTGCCAAAATGAATCTCACATAATCAGTTCTAACTGCATGTTTAGCTGTTTACACACTCATTTCAAATCACAAGAAGGAGATTTGCAAAAGCATTTCTAGAAGTTACAGACTGGTACCTGATTTGATTATTCTGCGTCTCTCCCATTGGTTTGCTGTATTCAGCACCATGTGCGCCCCCCTGCACAGACATGTCAAGTGCACTGCTTTTGTGCCAATGACTCTCAGACAGGTCACCCTGTGCCAATCACCGGAGAACTCACACTGCGCAATCGGGCCTTGTCACGCCAAGGTCACGAGCCAGATGGATTTAAATTGCAATATCGCAAATGTACCCACCCGAGCAACAAATGTAAACCCACTTGAGCAAGCTATTATCTTGTGCTTTGTTTTGAAACATCTCAGTTATTGCTACCGTTCATTAGGCGAGTCCTACAGTTGGGAAACTGACAGTAGGGTGGTTTTCAGCATCTGTTTTTATTACTGCATCAGTGGACGCCGTACTAATAGACTTCCAGTCCTTGCCAACCAAGAGCTCTATTAGATTATTGCTGTGATATATTATTGATAGTTTGTCCATGGAACATGAAAACTGTGTCAGACAGACGATACACGGAGGCCTGCAATCCATTAGGGTCGCACTGGAGTTTCTTTGCCCATTTTGACTTCGAGAGAGACAGCTGGTTGAATTTTGACTATTTAAGACTATTTGTGTTTGTGTTTGTTGTGTTCATGTTTAGAGTGTGAACAGGTTTAAATCACTGACTGTGTCCTTACTTTCAAAAGTCGGCAGACTCTAAAATGCAAGGGCGTAGACGACCGTGCGACATCAGAAAATTATTTTTGTTTGGACTGAGCTGAAAGCTGCGGCTCTCGTGTAGACATGTTACCATTAAAGGAAAAAAAGAAAATGAATTATTTTCAGACTGGGTACTTAGTAAAGGCCCTCATCAGCCAAAGCTTCATTGACAAGACATTACTGCCCCTCACGGGCCTTTACATGCATAAATGAATGTGACATTTAAGACAGAGAGAATGTCACGAGAGGTTTTGGATGCCTGTATCACCATTTCTCTCGAACGAAACTACAACCTTTCTCAACATATCAAGGAAGTGAAAGCCTCCCAATGCCATCCACTGTTGATGTACAAAAAGACAGAAAACTGAGAACAAAAAGTGTTTATCATCACTTATCTCAAAGACCCTTCTCTGTTGTCTCCTTTGGGACAGCCGTGTTGTTTCAACAGCATAACCCCAAGAGAGAGCCATAAAGCGTTTTTTTTTTTTTTTTTTTGATAATCAGACCTTAAAAACCATCATTGCACCTTTTTTGCTGATCAGCACACACTATCTAGGCCAAACACAAATGAAATGATAGCATAGGTGGTCGAAAACAACACAAAATTAAAGCAAGATGATACTATACTGTGTTATAACTGAAATATCTGTATTGTAAACATCTCTGTATAACGTTCATGTGTTTAAAGATTGGTTTAAGAAATACTGGGGCAAATACGTGTGGATTTAGGAAGGATCTCTACTATTTATTGATGTTTTGGATTGTGTTTTGTAATTGAGTTCCATTGCCCAGCCAAGGTGTAGATGCTCTCTCTCTTTCTCTCTCTCTCTCTCTCTCTCTCTCTCTCTCTCTCTCTCTCTCTCTCTCTCTCTCTCTCTCTCTCTCTCTCTCTCTCTCTCTCTCTCTCTCTCCCTCTCTCTCTCTTTCTCTTTCTCCCTCTCTCTCTTATATAAAGAATTATGCCTTCTCCAACTGCAATCCAGCTGGAATCAACTAAATACTTGATAAAGAAAAAACAATGTGCCTCATCAGGGGCTTTAGGATTTTAAGATCTCACTTTTTAAGAAGTGTGCATACCTGCATAAAGTAGTTAGCTAGAATAATCTATGTGTATGTATTACAAATGCATCATCATCATCGTCATCATTCTAGTTTTTATCGACACATTAATGACGGTACCTGTTTTAACTATATCTTCACGACTTCAGTCATGTTACGGTGTGTTTTGACAACGCTGTCAATGGTAGTTTGCGTTTGATCATTAGCGTTACTTGGTTCCTTACCTTACATCGTAAAGTCTGTCATCGCATGAAATTAAAATAATCTAAATAATCTACATCATAGTTTGTGCAGTTAGTGGTTTAAGATTAAAAAATACTTAATCTATATATCTATATATCAATATACACATTTGTATGTATTACAATGATAGATTCATTGTTACCTATGATAGTAAGTTCTTGTTGCTGTGGCAACAAAACTACAACATGGCTACCTTTGTATATCTTAATTGTGAATTTTTTCACACTTAAAGTGAAATAATGTACAACGTTAACTTATTCAGAAAGGGAATGTGTTCTTAAGTTGTCTTGGAAAAAGATATGATTGACTATTTTGTAAAAAAAAAAATATATATAATACCTATATATACAGACTTGTGAGATACTTTATGTCCAGAGGCCCTTTGGAGACATCATATGTTCTTTCTGTTTTAATGATTATTATTTTTCTATTGGGGTTGCTGATCACTTTTAGATAAGAACCAGATCTTTACTTTAACAGCATCTGAGCTTTTAAACCAATCTGATGGATCAATTTGGGGGGGAAAGACTTTCTAGTCTCATATTTGATTCAAAAAGGGCTGGCAATGCATTCGCAATGGTGCGTTCCGGTTTTTATAAATAACGCAGCCCTGTGATGTCATAAACGTGAGCCCCTGATTTCTGTGTCTGTCCCCCTCTGGCCCGCCCAGACTGCACCCCAGCTGTGCTGGGACCTGGTGACTCACGTCACCCCATTGGTGTACGAATGTGTGTTATTCACCTTGTTTGCACTTATGTACATAAATGAGTCAAAATATTCAGAATTTATTTTGAATATACATAGATGAATAAATATATATATATATATGTAGAAGAGCAGATTCAAATCAAATGTCTGTATTGTTTGGAATACAGGTAAAATGTTAAAGAGATAGATGCTGTTTTGCCAGGGTGTTGAGGAGAAATTTGTTGTTTGTTCTGTTTGCTAATGCCCTCGTTCTCACCGTTAAGCATGATATTGCATTTTGCGGAAATAATGATGTCAAAAAAGGCTTTGTAGTTTTGTATAGCTTACAAAAGTGCGTCAAGTTGAGCACTGTGTCCGCTTGCGTCTGATCCCGATGTGCGGTTGTGTCCGGGAACCAAAGAACGGCCAACTTTTTCTCTTTTACCTCTACATCGTGTGAGTTTCAGGCTCACAGTTTTGTTTTCTGTGTAGTCCCATGAGATGCAGTGAAACAGGGGGTGTAGTAACAGGAAGACCTGGAGGGCAGCATGGGGCAGTTTAGCACATAAAGAGCACCTCAGGATCAGACCGCAGCTGGAAAGCATTGCTGCAAGTTCTACAAAATACCGAATTTCAGTTTTCCATTTGGTTTGGTTGTTGACGGACATTTTCCATTCTTGTGCATTCACCAAGAACAACAAACAAACCTGAAGATCTCACAGGATATCCTTCAAAATCCCACGTTAAATCGCCAGATAATACCCTCTGTTGAAGAAAACTTGTACATTCTGTGCTCTGCTTTGGAAGCCAATAATTTTGTTGCCATGGCACTTGCCCTAATAGTGAGGGAGAGACCGAGTCTTTTGTAGGTTCTTGCATATAGACGCACCTTTGGACCAATTGAATATGGTCCTCAGCCTTTTGACTGTAAAGCTGAGGTAGCACTTAGGACTTAGCATAGACTAAGGGTCCCGACTTGCATCCAGAAGCTGAATGCGAACACACGGGACGCTCCTTTTACCACTGTGCTTGACAGAGAACATCAACAAAAGCTCTTCTGCTGTCCATTATCCTGTGCCTAAACATTCAGTGTGATGTGAAAGGACTGGTCTGTAAAGAAAGCCATTGAGGTTAGACTTCCATCTAACTGTGCCCTACATGCAGTCACGTCATCGTCATACCTGTGACTGGAACACTAACGTCATTGGTTCGTGTTTACGTGTAGAAGTCACTGAGACCGGAGCATCACATTAATGTTGTACAAAGCTGTATAGTTTCAAATGAAATCGCTCGTTGATGCAGAGGTTATGTCCCTTTAAAGGCATCTGCTGATGCCTGTGTAAATGCTATTGTGTGTGTGGAACCGTTCAAAGAATGTCTACATTGTTTCAAAGCCATATGAAATAGATTCCTCTCTCTCCCACTGTAGGACAAGATAAAACTGAATGCTTTGACTCTTTATATGAAATGCTTCTCTTTCTATTTAGCTTATTGTGCTTGTATGTGCTTCAAGAACTGTGCTTCTTGTCAATCCCTTTGCAATATATATAAATGTATGGAATATATACATACTTAAGACTTCTGTTCTTTTTGTTTGACATTTTAATAAAGCACTTAAAAGGCAATTTTGGGCTGTGTTTGGTGTGGTTTTTTTGTATTCAAATACAAACTGCTCTAAAGAGACATAAATAAAACAAATAATTGGATTTAAGAATAATTTG